TGTCTCATTCTAAAGTAATAAAACAAAGGTTTAATATATAAAGTCTTTACACACCACTGAAAACATAGTTACGGATCTTATATTGCATTTCTGTCGCTAGATCCTCAGAAATATTCCACACTGGACCTTTTTTAAGCACTGATGACAGAATATATTATTGAATATTTGAATATATATGTTGAAATGTATCAACATTTCAACTTATTGGGAGAAAACTGGTAGTTCTATGTAAAATCAGACGTTGAGCACCCCCATGGTCAATTCAGGAGTCCGTTACACTCTCTCAACCTGTGAGGTGTGTGGAAACATCCCCTCACCGGTAGCTCAGTCAGTTAGTCACCTACTTTGGGGATCTGAAGTTGTAAGGGTCCAAATCTCCTGGTAACCAAATCCAGTTTGCCAACAACAGGGTGTTCTGATCACAGTGAGTCAAAGTTTTCCTATTCTGCTTTGTGTGTGCAGGCCAGAGGCTAGTCCAAGTTTAGAGTCTCCTTGTGGAATAGAAAATGTTTGATACTGTGCATCAGGTTAGAAACAGCCTCTGAGTAACATGGTTACTTCAGGGAAATGCACTTTGCATGTTGATGATCTGTGATTTTTGTTGCTTGGTGTCTAGCCTCCAACTGTTGCGGTATCTGGTATCTGTCTGATCCGCTTTCTCCAGCAGCTCACGCACCCAATACAATGTGATTATTCCTCAAGTATCTGTGAACATAATCTTTACAGCGTAATTATTTATTGTGGCAGTAACTACTGAGCGTCTCATTGAATAAGGTCGGGTATAGGCCTACATATAGAGGAATATAGGCGTCGCATGTGAAGCACAACAGGACTGTTTTATCCAACTATATTTACTGTCTCCTTACATTAAAAAAACAAAAAAAACTGTGCTCTGCGCAATGAGAGGATTCTGATAACATCCACTGATCATCTGACGTTATATACGGTGTGTAGCCTACATTTGTTCTGCAGAGACTAAATAATCCTCTAATCCAATATTGATGGAAAGTGAAAGTATTTCTGCAGCTTCCAAAACAGACACCAGTGGCAGAATCTGTAGTTTTTTGATTTAAGTAAAATTAGTTGAACAAAATAATTTGCCTGATTTTCTAAATGTTTGCATCTGATCAGCATATTAATATCTGGCACTGGTTAAAGCTCTCCTGCTAACACAGCTTGGATGACAGCTCATTTCAGAGTTGATAAGAGGTTCTGTTAAAAAAACCCTGTTTTTTGTACTTATGTACTTACTGGTAACCACTTACTACCCACCTCTGATTGCTCTGTCCTAGTCGGTATAAATGACGGTACAGTATGTCAGGGTTATTGGAAGCACACGTCATTAATAATAATTCCTCCTTTAGCTGATGCTTTTCTCCAAAGCGACTTACAGCTGCTAGATATTTCAGAGGTTGCACGCTTCTGGAGGAACTAGGGGTTAAGTGTCTTGCTCAACTCTCAGAGCAGCAGCAGCAGTCACCACAGTGATGCCACACCCTTTTCTTCAATTCTGTTCCATTGTGCTGGTTTAGGATCGGCTTCCCTCAATAAAGAAATGCGACCTTTATTTTTAACAGCCTGAGATCTGAACGACGGCAGCTACTGTCAGTTTGTTATATTTTGATCTTGGAGACAGCGGTGGAGAAAACAATTTCACCACAAGGTCCATTTAGACCCATGTCTGATAAAGAGGCTTCGTGACTGTGTGGGTATACCAGGCTCAGCATTCCACTGGTTTCCATTTTATCTCTCTGACAGACGTTTCCCCGTCTCTACAGGTGACGAGTCTGATTTCTCTCCACTGTCTTGTGTCCCCCAGGGCTCGGTTCTGGGGCCCCTGTTATTCTCTTTATATCTGCTGCCCTTGGGAAAGATCATGGACAGATTTAACATCTAGGCTCCTAGACTTGTTTAACACACATTAGGAACTGGACTGCAGAACATTTTTACAGCTCAGTGCTGATAAGATCAGGTTCTGTTTGTTGCTCCTGAAAAACGTGCCCTATGATTATTCAAAAGATAATATCTCCTCAGCTGCCCAATCCTACCTGTGAAATGTAGACATAATATTTGATCAGTCCGCATCGTTTGACACCAATGATCTCTTATCTGGCTCCCTGTCGCATATCTGATCCAGTTCAAGATTCTTACAGTTACTTACAGAGCACTGCACACAGACTTTGGAATGCCCACAGTGTTATGGTCTGCTGATTCTGTGGACATTTTCAAAAAGCAGCTATGTTCTGTTGAATGTTGTTAGTCCTGTCCGTCTGAGAGACTGCTGTTGAGACAAGTCTGTCTCTCTGAAGAAACATTCATCAGGTTTTCCTCAACAAAACATCAGAATCTCTGGCAAACACTGGTGAGTACACTGCCCTGCACAGACTACATGCAGTCTCAGCAAATACTTTTTTACATAAAAATACTATGACAGATAGAAATGTGTAATCCTAGATAAAAACAACATGTAAACTCTGAAACTATAAAATAGGTAAGAAATAAACCACAGTGACAGCTTAAGATGATTTAGCTGCTTTTTTTTCAACCTGTTTCCTGTTCCTTTTGATTTTTATTGTCTCTCATATATTGAACTGTCTCTTCTGAGGTTTGTTTAATTTGTACTTAGTGGTTTAAATGATAGGGTCACATGTCATTCATGTATAAAAGTCTGCAGATTTTCCCATATTTTCATTCTTTAGGTCTTTGATGTGCTTGTTTTATTAAAGGCTCTGTACTCTGTAAAAACACTGTTCAGAGTCCAGGTTTGGATCCCTGAAACTGAACCCTAAATCCTGTTTAATCAGTTTAATATTCATGGATTCAAGGGAAGAAACTTCGAGAACCAAATTAAGTGAGATGTGTGACTTCACGATAAGATTGCTCATACTAACGTTTCCTGCCAGTATGGCTGTCATATGTTCTTCATGGCACTAAAACGTCAAAATGAAAGTACTGTTTTCACGCTGAGATGATGGAACATAAAGTTTTTAACTGACCAACACAAGAAGCTCCACCTCAAGCTAAGGAGACTTGGTTGCAGAAATAATTACCAATCCCAAAAAATTAGCTCTTTGTCTGAATACACACCATAATTAATGTGGGGTAAGATCAGAGTGAACCTTAGTTTGTGGGTTTACAGGGAACGTTGAAAGTCCAGTTCAACAACAAATTCACTGAGTGGAAGCCGGTCCTGGATGCTATCAGGGTTTAGCCTAACATTAGCGGCTCTGTCCTGATGTTCACTGGATATGGTGAAGTTTACACTCCAGCATTACCTGCACAAATGTAACATTATATGTGAAACACATTAGTATGCTCTATGCCTTTTCCTGCTGCTTTTAGAACTCAGTGGTGTGAATCTGCGTCCAGCCTCCACTGTTGAAACTTCATTCTACAGCGACAGAAATAACTTCAACCTACATGAAATGTTTAAAAAAAGAAAGACGGAGAATACCCAGGTGCTTGCTTTGAAACACTGCGGGCTGACATAACTTACAGGGAACAGTTGCTGTTAGGTAGGTAGGTTTTATTGTCACAATATAACAAGTTATAGTGTTAATAAAGATTCAATTATAAAAATGGTAAACAGAAATAAACTATAATCAGTAGAGCAGTGCTGAGGATGACTTGGAGTTTAAGAGTCTGATAGCTTGGGGGGAAGCACCAGAAACTTCTGTATCTCCTCCCAGAAGGCAGCAGGGTGAACAGGCTGTGGCTGGGTGGCTACTGTCCTTTAGTGTCCATTGGGCTCTGCAGTCGTGGGTGTACAGCATGAACAGGAGGGGGCTGAGCACACAGCCCTGGCGGGGCTCCCGTGTTGAGTGGAAGAGGTGAGTCCACCAATCCGAACTGACTGGGATCTGTTTGAGTGTTGTGTTTAAACCCAGAGTGCTGAGTTTGCTGATCAGTTTCATGGGGGGGATTGTGTTGATTGCTGAGCTGAAATCCACAAAGCATTCTGATGTAAATGTTCCGTATTTGTATAGCGCCTTTCTAGTCTTTTCGATCACTCTTTTACACTACATCACATTCAAACACTGAGCCTAAGTGCATTCATACACTGGAACAGCCACCAGGGGAAATTCGGGGTTCAGTATCTTGCCCAAGGACATGCAGCCTGGAGGAGCCGGGGATTGAACTCCAATTAACGGGCTACCCGCTCTACCTCCTGAGCCACAGCCGCCCCCTGTTGCCGCCGCTGTAGGTGTTGTTTTTCTCAAGGTGTGTGGAGATGGCATCCTCTGTGGATCTGTTGGTTCTGAAGGCAAACTGGTGAGGGTCCAGGCTGGCTGGGATGTTGTTTGTTGCACATTGAGGGAAATCCCTCTCACCGGCGTTATCAGAGGTGTCCAGCAGGCAGTGCTGCTGAATCACTAACTGTGTCTGAGCAGGAGGGCTCGTCACTGATGAGGTCATCAGGTGAAAGGTCATGATGTGGGTCATTTATTTTATGAATTATTATTCATTCATTTTACTAATAGTTTGATTGGGCAGGCTTTCACAAAAGGCCTTTACAAACTAAAAAATGTATTCATTAAATGTTTCATTAACAAAAGGGTACTTTGGGCATCAAAGGGCAAAAGAACAGGTGCTCAAGCACCCATCGCACCCCCCTCTGCACATGCATGAGAACAGCAAAGCTGTATCCCTACAGATAAACAATGAGCTGAAAGTCACAAAGCTCCGTAAAGCAGAGAAGCTGCAGATTAAGCTGATGATTCACTACCAGAGAACACACTGTTTTCACTTCATTGTAAAAAATACCCGTTATGTCTGCTTTAAATGCAAAATCAGTGTTGATTGTTTCAAGTTTGCCTGTAAAATTTATACAAATCTAAATACGTGAAATGGTCAAATTAAAAATGAGAGTGAAAATGTCAGAGTGGCTGGACATGATACCACATCGTTTAAACATCACAAACAAATAACAGGTTGGACAGCAGAAGAGTCAGAGAAGTGAACTATCAAGCTGTTGTCCATTTTGTCCAATTCAGACTGAGCGATGGACCCGGAAGCCGGCGGGACGAAGGAGGTGGCGGCGCTCGGCCGGCCCTTCAGCCTCGGGATGTTGTACGACTGCCGCAGCGACTCACTCGTCCCTGGTAAGGAGTCACATGTTCAGAGCCACAAATGTCTATTACAGTCAAAACAAAGTTTAACAGGCAGAGATCTCAACACAAATCCACACAGTTTAACTACAGCAGCTCGGATAAAGTGCAGCTCACAGTCCCAAACCGAGCAAGACGGGGCCAGTTGTTTTGTCAGAGGGGCCCATTCAATCCATGACAAGAGACAAAAGGCAAAGTTCAAGTTTTCAAAATGTCTTGTTTAGTATATACTGTAATGTTTTTAGTATGTTTCAGTAACAGGATCTTTTCAGTAACTACTACCAAAATGGAACTTGCTGGTAATCAATAACTAAGGCAACAACAAACTCAGGGAGAAATAGCCTACACAAAGTCAAGTTTCACATATTCATATGACAAGATAAAAGCTGCATAACATACCAAGCTAGGATCATGAAGACATTACCATAATGGTACCCAATAACTAGAGCACCTTTGACTAATCTAACTTATCAAAAACACCTACTGATGAGCACAGCCAGCAAGCCTCCGACTGCACTGACAACAATTAAAGCAAACCCCCTGGTATCTGCCTAACAACACTGAAACCTTCTGAGATATGCCGGGCTCGAGGCGTCTTTAAACTGAAATGCTTGCACCCACCGGAGAAACACGTCTCCACCCAGAGTTATCTCGAAAATAAAAAAGGCAAAAATCATATGAGTGCATCGGTGGAAGGACAGATTACTCAGCTCGCACACTCCCTAACTCACCAGGGAGATCACATAATATTTCAGGTCAACAGCACTCAGACAATATACTCACATGATGATGATAATCTTTATTTGTACTTTTCAAAAACAAGTTACAAAGTGCTTTAACAAGTGTAAAGACAATAATACCCAAAAGACAATAATACAAAAACAATACAAGATAAAAGCAAGAAAACATTGAAAAGACTAAAATACACATTTAAGATAAATATAAAATTAGTAAAATACAATAAAATAAAGTCAAATAAGATCGGGAAAGGCTCTCCTATAAAAGTATGTTTTAAGAAGGGACTTAAAAGAGTTCACTGACTCAGCCGACCTGGTTTCCTCGGGCAGGCTGTTCCAGAGCCTCGGGGCCCTGACAGCAAACGCTCTGTCCCCTTTAGTTTTCAGTCGAGACTCTGGAACAGACAACAGACCTCTGCCCGAGGATCTCAAGGTACGTGCTGGTGCGTATGGGACTAAAAGGTCAGAAATATAACAAGGCGAGAGGCCATGAAGAGCTTTAAAAGTGATCAATAGAACTTTAAAGTCAATTCTAAAACATACTGGGAGCCAGTGTAATGAAGCTAAAATAGGAGTAATGTGGTCATATTTCTTTGTTCTGGTTAAAAGCCTGGCAGCTGAGTTCTGGACAGTCTGGAGTCGATCAATAGATTTTTGGGTTAAACGGGTGAAAAGGCTGTTGCAATAATCCAGGCGTGATGAGATGAAGGTATGTAAAATGGTCTCGGTGTCCTTAAAAGTTAACATAGATCGAATTTTTTCTAGATTTCTAAGTTGATAAAAACATGATTGAACAAGCTTTGTGGTGTGCTGCTCGAAATTTAAATTACTATCAAACCAAACACCAAGGTTCTTTGCCACAGGCTTAATGTGATTTACTAGGGAACCAGCAGATGGCAGTATTTGATTTGCCATCTGCTGGGACCCGATGACCAGGATTTCTGTTTTGTCTGAGTTCAGCTGGAGGAAATTATTTGACATCCATTTTTTAACTTCACAAAGGCGGTTGTTAAGTGAACTCAGCATTCCAGGGTCTGTGGATCTGACGGGCAAGTATATTTGTGTGTCATCAGCATAAATATGAAAAGAAATGCCATGTTTATGGATAATATGTCCAAGGGGAAGCAGATACAAGGAAAACAAAATGGGTCCTAAGACAGACCCCTGAGGCACACCATATTTAACTGGACAGAACGAGGAGACAAAGTTGTTTACAGACACGCAAAACTTCCTATTTGACAGGTAGGATGAAAACCATTCTAGGGCAGTACCAGAGATCCCCACCCAGTGCCTCAGTCTGTCTAACATGATGTTGTGATCAATGGTGTCAAAAGCAGCGCTAAGGTCCAGGAGTACCAGGACTGAGCACATGCCTTCATCAGCAGACATTAAAAGGTCATTGGTGACTTTAAGCAGGGCAGTCTCAGTGCTGTGGTACTTCCTGAAACCAGACTGAAACTTTTCAAATAATTTGTTATTTTCCAGCACAGTGAGCAGCTGTTTGGACACAATTCTTTCTAGAATCTTTGCAATAAAAGGCAGTTTTGAAATTGGTCTAAAATTATGTGGGAGGGAGGGATCTAAACCAGGTTTCTTTAAAAGTGGGTTCACGCAAGCCGTTTTAAAATAATCAAGGACACAACCAGTAGATAGGGAGCTGTTGAAAACAGAGATCAAATGGAGCCCAACAGAATCTATTACTTTCAGTAAAAATTTTGTAGGTATCATATCAAGTGGGCTGGAGGACACTCTCATTTGTGATACTGTTTTTAAAAGCTCAGACAAGTCGATGGGATAAAACTGGTTAAAACTCTCTTGTTGCTGGTGAGGAACCTCTGAGTAAGAGGCCACGGGGGTAATAGAGGCTCTGATTGACACCACCTTATTGGTAAAATAAGAAAAACAATTCAGTCATCATTACTTCCAGCTGAGGCACAAGGAGGGGTTGGGTTTACCAGCTGATCCACAGTCTTAAACAGAAACCTGGGATTGTGTTTATGTGTAGTAATGAGTTCAGGAAAATAAAATACTGACCAGGAGGGAGAAACACAGCAGTCCACAGGTAGCATCGAACAGCACACCACAAATAAAAGGAAGATCACACAGTCTAGGGGGGAAAAAACAACAAAACTCCTGGATATGATATCCCGGACTGGCCCCCGATATGTTACAAGGCATTTAACCCAAAATTGAGGTGTGTTGTTTTTTTTTTGTTTTTTTTTAATAATTCACCAACACAGAGAAATATTTCGGCAGCAGAAGAGCAAATCCATGAGTAAAAGTTACGTTATGGGAATCCGATGGTCGAGATTGTAGGCAGTGTGCAAACTACAGGGGAGCTCGGCTCCCCTTAACAAGACAGTAGCTCCCCTGATGGATCATGTGTAAATAGATTTTTATAGGTTTGCGCTTTAACAAATTACTTTCATGATTAGAGAGGCTGCTGTCAGTTCATCCTGACCGATCTGGTCGCAGTGTCGGGAGATTCAAATAATCATCAAATTCAAATATCCCCGCCCCCTCCCATTAATCAGAAGGTTAATTTTAATGACAAACCACCCGATCCGCAGATAACTCTGTGACTTCTGTAAACAAATAGGGAAGGACAATGACATTTTATCCAATCCTTTGCACATAGATCATGCCTTCAATCATCATTTTTCATGTGTAGATCAAAATTTCTTTGCTCCAATGGTTTGGCATGGTCTTCTTATTCTTCCGTGCCCGTCGGCTCTTGCTAATTTATAAAAATCATGCCTACTATTATGTCTATTATGCACAACGTGACCTAAAATTAAAGTGCAGTGCAGGACCAAATGATGGAAGCTGTTTTGCAGCTCACATATTGATTCTCTTGCAGATCAAAGATCTTGCAAAGCTGCCAGAATAACAACTTTTTGGTGTTCATCATTTGTGCAGTTGCTAAAATATTTGAGAAATACATTTTTAATCAATTAACTAAGTACATTAATAATTATAACATTTTATCTCTGGCTCCAAGATCCAATTTTTCTACTTCAACTGCTCTCCTCTTAAAATTTTTTGATAATGGTCATTTCATTGGTGCTGTTTTTATTGATCTCTCAAAGGCCTGTCACATGGTTCACCATTACCTTCTATTAGATAAGCTTTACTCTATGGGCCAGATTTACTAAAGGTTTGCGTGAGTAAAAACGTGTGCAAACTTTATCACCCGCAAATCAACACGTAAGCTGATCTACTAACATAAATATGCAATTTGGGGCTTTTCAATTTTATTGTGCATGTAAAGTAAATGCAAAGTAATGGGAGGGTAACATGCAAATACCTTTATTTACTACACGCAATGTGAGCTACCAAGCCTAAAAGCAATTTCATGTGAGTGCAGCAGCCTCTGTATTTAATACGTTTGAAAGGAAGGTGCAAACCGCCAAGTGTTGCAGAGATGGCTGTTGTTATCGTTGTGAGGAGATACAGCTGTAATGAAAGAAAACGTAGAGAAATTACTAATATTAGATGATCTTATTCTATATCCAATATATAGACATACAATTATTTTATTTATTCAATGAACTATATGAATGGAATTTTTTTTTTTCTTTTCCTTTAGTGTTGGCAATACTGTTGTATTAACATTCATGCCAATAAAGCTAATTTTGTTTCAACCTGACTTCTTTTCTCTGTGAGATGGAAGGATTTAGAAAGTTGCGAACAGTCGGTGATTGTTCCCTCTGGCTGGATGAAGCACGATCTGCTGGCATTTTTTCGCATCTGGGTCATTGCAGCATACTGTAGCTGTTTCTGCTGGGGTTTTCCAAAGCAGTTTTTCAGGTGTGCTGTCCCAAGTACTTAGTGCAATTTCAGGCAGGACGATTTTCACATACTCGGGACGCACTGAATGAAACAAACCAAGGTTTTTGCGCAGTGGCTGCTTTCCGACTCTCCTTGGCGGAAACAATTAAAATGCAAAATCAATTAGCGATCAGCTGATTCTCACGAATGTGTGAGAGAGAGAGAGAGAGAACATGAAATTAATCCAACTAACATAACACCACAAGCCAAAGCACAGCACTGGAAAATAAACCAATCCAACTGACGTTACATATTTTTCTACCAGTGCTGTAAAAGTTTAGCTGGCTGATGATTCCATGCTCTAACCTAACGTTACGGTTTTATTGCCAATTAACATTATGATCAGCTGACTGTCTCGCTAAGTAACCAGCAAAGTCAAACCACAGGCTGGAGAATAAGTAGGCGCCATTAAATAAATCCATTTTTCACACCACTGACAGGGGAAACACGGCTCTCTGTGATTCTGGCCAGCGAATAGCTAAAGCTCTGAAACAACAGCTTTCATTTGGATTGCTAAAGTCTGACAAACAAAGTTAATTACCTGTCCAGCAGAAAACAGACAACTTAAGCTTTACCATCAATGTGTAAAGGATATTACCGAGCCGGTTCTCATCTCAGGGCGTCATACCGACGTTTTGAGAGCGGATGCTAGCTAGCTACGTTTGTGATAAAGGTGTTGACAGCCCCCTGAAGCCCCTAACCTTGCCGCAACCATCAGAAATGTTAGTACCTAAACCTAAGTCACTGACTTTATGCATGTCGACCGGCTAACCCTACAATTGTGCACATCGGCCGTGCTAACAGGTAGGTTTAGCTTCCCTTGTGTTGCTGCGGGGGCGTTTTATACGGACGCTGAAGGGTACCTTTAGCATAAAATCCTTACGCTTTGTCACGCTGTCTGAGATGAGAATGTGCTGTATTACCACAGGGGCTCAGGAAAACTTCAGAAAACCATTGTCAGTCACAGTTCATTGCTACATCAACAAGTGCAAGAAGTTAAAACTCTACCATGCAAAGCGAAAGCCATATATCAACAACACCCAGAAACGCCGCCAGCTTCTCTGGGCCTGAGCTTATCTGAGATGGACTGATGCAAAGTGGAAAAGTGTGCTGTGGTCTGACGAGTCCACATTTCAAATTGTTTTTGGAAATTGGAAAAGGACCATCCGGATTGTTATCAGCGCAAAGTTCAAAAGCCAGTCTCTCTGATTCTAGGGGGGGGGGGGTGTTAGTGCCCATTGCATGGGGAACTTGCACATCTGTGATTGACCATTAATGCTGAAAGGTACGTACAGGTTTTGGAGCAACATATGCTGCCATCAAAGCAATGTCTTTTTCAGGGAAAGAATTCCACCTACAAAGCTTCAACAATTAGTGTCCTCAGTTCCAAAACACTTATTGGGTGGTGTTAAAAGGAAAGGGGATGTAACACAGCGGTAAACATTCCCCTGTCCCAGCTTTTTTGGAACGTGTTGCAGGCAGCAAATTAAAGTGAGTGAATATATTCAAAAAACAATAAAGTTCATTAGTTAGAACATTAAATATCTTGTTTTTGTGGTGTATTCAATTGAAAAGGATTTGCAAATCATTGTATTCTGTTGTATGTCTGTATTTTTACGTTTTACACAACGTCCCAACTTCATTGGAATTGGGGTTGTAGAATATATACAGTAGTGTGAATATAATCATGACTTTCTTTATCTTGATTTTCATTAGACATTTCTCTGTGGAGATGTGACTTTATCCTGTATGTTACATAAGACATACTGATAAACGACGCATTAATTTTTTACTGGATTTTTTTTTTTTGTCAATGTATTTCAATTTGTTTGCTATATTAATTGTGGGGGCAGGTGAGCGAGTTATTGTTTTGTATATATATGTGTGTGTGTATTGTGTTTTCCCAAACTTTTGTGTCTATACATGGAAATGTTGAAGGACCCCTCGAAAATGAGATGATACATTCCTGAAATAAGTACAAAATTCAAATTCAAACTCTGCATCATTAGAACACATCTATGCAGGCACATCTCACTATCAGAATAATTAAATGTTAAAATATGAAATAGCAGTAAAAGTAACGCAATAGTAATGTAGAACATTACAATTCAGTGACACTAACATTGTAATATAACTACAGTATCGCTCAAAAGTGAGTACACCCCTCACATTTTTGAATATTTCTTTTCATTTGACAACACTGAAGAAATGACACTTTGCTACAATGTAAAGTTTTGAGTATACATCTTGTATAACCATTAATGTCTAAACCGCTGGCAACAAAAGTGAGAACACCCCTAAGTGAAAATGTCCAAATTGGGCCCAAAGTGTCAATATTTTGTGTGGCCACCATTATTTTCCAGCACTGCCTGAACCCTCTTGGGCACGGAGTTCACCAGAGTTTCACAGGTTGCCACTGGAGTCCTCTTCCACTCCTGCATGACGACATCACCGAGCTGGTGTATGTTGAAGACCTTGCGCTCCTCCACCTTCCATTTGAGGATTCCCCACAGATGCTCATTAGGGTTCAGGTCTGGAGACATGCTTGGCCAGTCCATCACAGTTACCCTCAGCTTCTTTAGCAAGGCAGTGGTCGTCTTGGAGGTGTGTTTGGGGTCGTTATCATGTTGGAATAATACCCTGTGGTCCAGTCTCTGAAGGGAGGGGATCTGGTCTGCTTCAGTATGTCACAGTACATGTTGGTATTCATGGTTCCCTCAGTGAACTGTAGCTCCCCAGTGCCGGTAGCACTCATGCAGCCCCAAACCAGGACAATCCCACCATCATACTTGACTGTAGGCAAGACACACTTGTGCTCCTCACCTGGTTGCCGCTATACACGCTTGACACCATCTGAATCAAACAAGTTTATCTTGGTCTCATCAGACCACATTGGTACTGTGTAAAGGGGACTACTGCCAGTAAAAAGCACCTTATTTGTTTAAAGTGTTTGCAAACCACGTTATTGCACTCCCGCAAACCTGTACGCAGGATAAGCGGTTGACGATGGATGAATGTTATTGTGTGCTATTGTGTATATACCAGTACATTCAAATTAAGTGCGCAATATACTACTTTAGAATTCATTATTTAATTTTGGGCATAACTATGCAATTAATCTTGATAAAAAATTGTAATCATTGCCCAGCACTAGAAAAGAGATAATCAAATATTTTCAAAAATGTGAGGGGTTTCTCACTTTTGTTTGATGCTGTAATTACTCTTAAATGATAGTAACTAGTAATCTATAATTTGTTACATTTTGGAAGTAACTTGCCCAACACTGCAAACAACCCTGCAAACAACAGGTGTGCTAGGTGATCTTCTCCTGTCTGGCTTCTGAAAGATGAACTTGATTTTTGCTTCTTTTTTTGCAGGAATGACACTGTGGGACCATGATAAACTGATAAAATATATACGAGAAAGACCACACAACTATAAAGGCTTTGAGATAGTTGCATCTGAATCAATTGAGGACAAATCTTCAGCACTAAACGTTGAAGCTTCCCTGAAGGCAAGTTTCTTGAGTGGACTGGTTGAGGTTGATGGATCGGCTAAATACCTGAACGACAGTAAGATTTCCAAAAATCAAGCCAAAGTAACTCTGAAGTACAAGGCTACCACAAAGTTCCAGGAACTGTTGATGGATCACCTTGGAAGAGGCAATGTGAAGCATCCATATGTCTTTGATAAAGGATTAGCAACACATGTAGTCACAGCCATTCTTTATGGGGCACAAGCCTTCTTTGTCTTTGACCGTGAGGTTTCTGAAGAGGAAGATCATCAAGACATTGAGGGGAACTTGAAGATGATGATCAAGAAGATTCCCTGCCTTGCTATAGAGGGTGAAGGTTCCCTGAAACTGGAAGACAAGGACCGAGCAAATGTTGAGAAATTCTCCTGCAGATTCTTTGGAGACTTTTCTCTTGAAAAAAGTCCTGTGTCCTTTCAGGATGCAGTAGAAGTCTACCAAAGCCTGCCAAGATTACTGGGAGCCAACGGAGAAAAGGCTGTACCAATGAAAGTCTGGCTGTTGCCACTGACAAGTTTAGATTCTTCTGCTGCAAAACTGGTCCGTCAGATAAGTATAGGATTAGTTCAGGAATCACAGAGAGTCCTGGAGGACTTCAGTGAGCTGGAAATGAGGTGCAATGACACAATGAGAACCACCACCGCACAGCAGTTCCCACAGATTGGCAAAAAGATTAAAAGCTTTAAAGAGATGTGCTCTGAGTTCAAGCTGGGATTCCAACGAAACTTGGCAAAGAAACTTCCATCAATCCGAGGAGGAGGAGAAGAGGAGGCTGTGCTCGCAGAGATCCTGAAGAAGAGACATTCTTCTCCTTTCAACAGCAAAGACCTGAACGAGTGGATGGACTGTAAAGAGAGAGAAGTCTACACCTTAATGTCTTTAACCAACAAGATGAAAAACACCAAGATCATCCCGTCTCAAACACACCTGTACAGGGAAACCCTCAGTGCAGAGCATGCTGTGTGTTTTGTTTTCACCTCCCTGGGAAGTGCTGAACCGTACCTCTCAGCTTTATCTAACTACTTAAAACAAACACCCGAACCAGACGACCCGCAAGATGTAGAGAAGGAACAATGGTTCACCTCAAAAGAAATAACAGATGCAATGAGGAATAAAGCAAAGCTCTTCAGTGACTTTGCAGAGGCCAACAAGGAGAACAAGAACATAAAGTTCCTGACAGTGGGATTAACAAATGAGACACAGAAAGGTTCAAGCATCTACCTTCATGAAGGCGGCTTTTCTGTCAATGAGAACTTTGAGCCGCCTTCAAAGCCTGAAACAGTAACAGCAAGTGACATAAAGCACAACAGTGTGACACTGAAGATTTCTGCGCCCAGATTTGGAGCAGAGAACATCACCTCCTACTCTGTAGAGTACTGTGTCAGAGGAGAGGATGGATGGCAACAAGAGACAGCATCAAAAGCTGGAGAAGTCACAGTGAGCCATCTGAGTCCTAACACAGAGTATATGTTCAGATGCAGAGCAGTGACCTCAGCAGGTGTTGGGCCGGCCAATGAAGCCAGTGGTTCCATTAAAACCTTACCTTGCAGCCCTCCTGGAGAACTTCAGGTTGAACCAAACTCAAGTGAGATCTCAGTCAGCTGGGAGAAACCTGCTGAGCTTGGACAAGATGTCCAGATTTTGAGCTACATCGTGGAGTACGCCAAAACAGACAACGGGGTGAAAGAGGAAGATCTCCAATGGAAGCAAATGATGTCGAGAGCTGAAAAGGCGATCATTTCAGGGCTTCAGCCAGAGACAGAATATGTTGTCAGGGTCAGATGTGACTGTGGTGAAGCTGGAAGAAGCAAGGAGAGCATCTCTGTTAATGTCTGCACAACGACATTTACAGGTAAAAGGGTTCTTTTTCATTTATACAGTGCAATGCAAATTTCACAGAGATGTAATGTAGTGGTAATAACATAAGTATTGGTAGACTAGGATGGCGCAGATCCAGACAGATCCAGAGCTGAGTTTTTAATATGTTTTAATGGGATAACAACACAGTCATTGTTTTGGATTTACAACTCCAATGGGATGATAATATTGCTCTGTATCTGCTGAATGCAATGAGCAGCTCTCTGATAGCACATATCTCATAACAACTTTTTGTTTGATGATATGTCAATGATTTGTTAACAGCTTGTTCTCCTGAAACATTGTTGCCAGAATAGTATTATTACTTTCTGCAACTTCTTATGAAGTAAATGGTTTATTCTGTGAACTTGGAATGTATACATTACCAGTTAACTGACCATGATCATTTAATTTATCTTCTTTTAGGGGAAAGCGTACGTTGTTCCAGACTTGAAGTCCGTGGGGCAGTTACTGACAAGTACGTACTTTACTTCTGCTTTTCTGTTCTTTTGTCTGTGTATTATTTTCTTTTATTTTGGAAAAAGAAAAGAGTCAACTATTCAGTTTGTCATTTTCTATTTTACAGTATGCAAATTCACACTGCAAATTTCCTCTTCTCATTGCATGTCCACAATTGTGCAGGAAAATCAATTAAAGCGGCAATAAGTAGTTTTCAGCAGCCATTAGCAATGTAGTTTGAAGATTGTAACCAGGTGTGTGCTCGTACGCGTTCTTGAACTCATGAGTCAGCATAATCCGAAACACAACCTGCTTTCATACAGAGATTCCACAATAAAGGAAACAACAAACATCTCCATATTCACCCCTGTCATTAGACATGAGACTCAGACTGCGTGTCCAGCTTGGCAGGACCAGTACTGTAGGTAAGGGCTAATTAAATCTAATGCCTTATTAAATTATTATGGTAATAATTCACCCTTTAAGGAGGGGGAATTCAGAACAATTTCCAGCAATGTCCAAGCCTAGCATAACGTGGATTACAGGGTCAAAATATTTTATCCAATACTGTAGATATCAAGCAGATGTCTGGATCTACAGTAGCTTCCAAACAGTAACATGGATGACCAAGTGATCAACACCATGGTCAGTCATCAAATCGTCAGACTATAGGGGAAAAAATATTTGCTTTACAAGGTAAAATCATTTTGTTTAGACCAAGGTAACCGCAGAGTCATAAAAGTATTTAAAAAGTCTTCAATTTAATATTCTAAAAATAAGGCATTAAAAGCATTAAAGTATTAAATTTCATTTAAAAAAAGGTCTTGAAAAGTTTGTTGTCCTTTCATTTAAATAAATGCTGTAACGTTATAAATAAATGTGTGTGACTCAGAGATGGGGACTCGAGTTAGAGACTCGGACTCGAGTGCGACTTATAGACTATGTCCCTCATTCTAAACTAAAGTAATTAAGAATTTATTCTTTACTGACATGTTCTTACTTCCCCCATCTGCTCTGCAGCTACCTGGCCTTCCCCCTCCTCACCTACGTCCATCCCTCCACCTCCTTTGTTCGCTTGTTATTCGTCGCCGTTGCTGTTTGTTTCTTGCTTTGTGCTTTTATCCCGGACCTGCTCCTACCTACCTGCCTCTTAACTGTCTACATAACTGTGAGCTCTTCTTGTCATCAAACCATCAATATCATCCTACCATCTCAATTGGTCCTTCTGTGCACATTACTGATGATAAATTCCTTCATATTGACTATCTAGAGATGTAGTGTCCTGTCTTAGACTAGTCTGAAGGTTCATCAGTCACCAGTTTAGTTTTGGTGACTGATGAACCTTCAGACTCTTGGATCTGGATTGTATTTCATTGTCTCACCTGCACCTGAATTAACACACCTCCAACCTGCACAGCCCCTGTACAAACTCTTATTTAACACAGCTGCTTTTGATCTTTGTGGACTTTGACGGATGATTCTGTCTTTTGTCCAACACTTTAGTTTTTGTCTTTATCCATCTAGTCTGGTTTTCTTTACGAGCATCACATTGTCATAGAACATTTTTATTATGACAAAGAAATCGGGATCATTAGGTTTATGTAAAACGTCCTCACATTTTATTTCAGTGTCACGTTCGCTGGGTGTGCAGAGCAGGTGAGAGACCAAATGCATGACACAGAGCGCTGAGATACAGTTCAAGGGTCCTGAATCCAGGGCAAGACAAAACAGGTATGAACCAAACTCATGAGTACAAGGAAACTGTTACATCCAAAAACCCAGAACAGGTAATGCAGCAACTTGCAGAACAAACAACAACCGACTGAACATACATGCAACTTGCGACAATGCTGGACAAGGACTAAGCAGAAACACCAAACATTTATACACCGGGACTAACGAGCAGGGCGGGAGCAACTCAGGTGACTGTGATGGAGGGTTAATGAGGCAGAGAGACAGAAGGGGGAAACAGAGAGACTGGATGGCAGGCAGATACTGGAGGTGAGAAGACACAAGTACTGAACACTAAACATATCAAAGTAAGAAGTAACAGATCAGAATAACAAAAATAACAAACTAATCCAGACACAAGCAGACAGAATACGAATACAATAATAACAAGGAAGACTGAAGCAAAGATAAAACAAAACTCAGAGCAGACATGGGCAAAACAACACAGAAGTACACAGACCAGGAGTAAACACTTAAGACATGAACTAAGGTACAGAACTAAGAACTAAGACACCAAACTTGGAACTAGGATACGAGACAAGGCAGATACAAATTAACTTAAAGATGCGGATGAATGAAATAATGAAGGCAACACGGAGACTAAAGAAGAATGATCAAAATCAGATTAATTAATGAAACTGGCAAACAGACAGACAGAACCCAAGCATGATGGTAGAGATCAAACACATGAGGGACAGGAACAGAACTAAAGTACTGAGGCAGACACCGAGATAACAGGACAGATCAGAACCACCACACAAGACCACAGATAGACAGGACTGAAACCCAGACACAGAGAACCCAAAATCAAAACACAGAGAAGGCATGGCCAAATTAATATAACACAGAGGCAGGATCGTGACACTCAGATTTACTTTTCTCTCTGTGGTTTATCAGGTGTGGTCGAGTCATATTGGCCGAAATAAAAGATCTGAAAATCTGTGAGACCCTTTCTGCAGTCTTTAAAAAAAACAAGGATCATTTCAAAACCAAAGATTAAAAATTGCATAGCATTAACTTTATTTTGAAAAGCGCGCGCGCACACACAGTCTCCTCCACGCCTACTTTAATCATGTAACTTTCACACCCAATAACTATAGAAATACCAAACACACCATCAGGGGTCTATACATTGCCCAGAGGCTTCCCTAACAACAGCTGGAGTGTTAATACACACACCTCTTTAGGGAGTGTGTGTTACAGAGGCACCATCTGAATCTGCTGTTAATGGCAAGTGAAAATATCTCTGCTTGTAAAAGGGCTGCTTTCTAACATGGCCACCAGTGGCAGAGTGTGCAATTACAGAGTTTGAGTTGCTTTAGCACAACAGCCAAACCATAAACTGAAAAGGTATTGGCCTACTTGTCTAAGTGTTTGCATCTGCCCAGCTCATTAATATCTGGCACAAGATCATTGGTTAAAGCTTTCCTGCGTAACACAGCTTGGATGACAGCTCTTCCTGCATATATGTCTAAACTGCTACGCCCTTACTCATCAGTCTCATCGCTCTCTTAGGTCTAATAATTAAAACCTGCCGTCTGTCCCACAGACTTACTTCAGACCTGTGTTGATCAAGCTTTTGTGGCTGTAGCATCCAAACTTAGGAAGGCTCTGCCTGCACCGTTACGGTCTGCTGATTCTGTAGACATTTTCAAAAGACAGCTATGTTGTGTGTTGAATGTTGTCTTCCTGTCTGTCCTTTTTAAGAAGAGAGCTTAAACATCACATTTCCTCAGTGAAAGTGGAAGTTTGTCTCAGAGACTGCAGAGCTGCTGTCGAGGCGAGTCTCTGTTTCTCTCAGGCTTTCCTCAACAAAATATCAGAATCTTTGTCAAACACTGGTGAGTACACAGACTACATGCAGTCACAGCAAATTCTTCTTTTTACATATAAATATTGTGACATATAGAAATGTGTAATCTTTAATAAATATAACATGTAAACTTTGGAACTATAAATCAGGTAAAACCCAAACCGCAGTGACTGCAGTCAAAACTCGCCTTAGCTTAAGATGATTTAGCTGCTTTTCTCAAACTGTTTCCTGTTTCTTTTGATTTCCTGTTTTTCTCTCTCTCTCTCACTTACAATCTCTCTTACATTGTACGGTCTCTCCTGAGGTTTGTTTAATTAGTACCTAATGGTTCAAAGGATAGGATCACATTTTTTTTAACCCCCTCCACACAAAAACACATAACTTGTGTTTATGTCTAATGTCGGACCTTAAATTTACTGATGTTTGTCACTAGAGAGGCGTTTTCACTTCCTCTTCTAAAGGAGAAGATGTCTGTACATTAAAATGTAAGATTCAAACTCGGCACTGGATTTGGAAATATTCCAACAAAAACCTCAGAGATTAAAGTCATACATATGAAAAGAAAACTCACATTAAAGCTGTAAACTTATGAGAAAAAAAAACGTGTTTTGCAAATATTTTTGTCATTATTCATACAAAACCAGTCATGAGAAGAGAGATGAGAAGCGTTTTCAGACAGTTAGCCAGATGTAGGAATAGCAACAAAGCCAATATTATGCTGAAATATTTTCCTTGAGCCCTGACAAACCAGCCTTTGATCAAAACCGTGGACAGTGGCTGCCTGAATGCCGAATGAATGAATGAATTATAACATAATCGCAAAGGGCCTATTCATCATTTATCAATAGCAATCATTCTAGTTGTAGAATAACCGTGGAGCAAGGTGCACAGGCAGTAGTTATGTGTGTGCACATTCATCATTTATAAATGTCTGCAGTACAGAGATTTTAATAACAAAAGCCCATCAGAAACATAATATTTTCTTGTACAAGTTTGGGTCCCTGGTCCCTGAGAAACATGATTAACATTAATCGGTTCAGTTTTCATGGTTTCAAGTGAAGAAACTTAGAGAACTTAGAGAACTTTCTACATCATAGGTTGCGTGACTTCACAATAAAAGTGTCTCTTATTGACGGTGTCCTGCCAGTGTAGCTCTCATGGAACAAACAGTGAAGAGGTCAATTATAAGGTAATATGATTTCCCACTGAGAGGATACATTTATGAAGTTGTTTCTCTCCAAAACTGAAGACCTCCACCTTGAGCTAAGGAGTTTTAAGCATGGTAGCAGAACGAATTACTAATATTTTTTTTAATACACACCTTAATGAGTTTGGTGTAAGATGAGAGTGGACCATAGTTTGAGGGTTTGCAGGTAACATTTAAAGTCTGGTTGAGCAGCGTGTGGAAGCCAGTCCTGAATGTTATTAGAGCTTAGCCTAACATTAGCAGCTCTGTCCTGAGGGCTGTTTCACAAAACCAAGATAGTGGATTAAGCCGCGTGCACCATACTTTGCACACAACGAGAATCAGCGAGGTTG